GGAACCAATTCCCGAAGTCGTCACGAGCGGTTTATGATAGATGCTGGGTGGACTACTATACAGGGGCCATGTAATATAAATCTTTACAGCTACTATTTTGAACGTTACTACGACATTCGACGCTGCTGTGAAATACTGTAAAAAATATCTGGGGGGAGGAGGGGGGGTAGGTAATATAGAAATGCAGCAGTTATTGCAATATATATGCCTATATATGGACAGGATATAAACAGTGCAGATAAATAAGTGGATTGATCACTATGGCATATTTTTGACGGTTAATGGTGATGTTAATAATGAATTCGCGCGCTGGAAATGGCGGAGGGGTGTCCATATCTGATTTGAGGTGGGTTGGTGGTTGTATGCTGTTTGTTTCTTGTTTATTTATTAGTTCCCTCAAGGTAAGGGACCGAATGTTCGGAGTAGGACCTATTTTGTCTTCATAAAGTCCCGGTTTCGAATCTCGACACGGTGGCTACCGATTCTTTCTAAAGTTTTTCGTGATTTGCTTCGGTGTTTCCGGTGAAATGACCAGACACTGGAGACTACATTCAAAGTACACCTAGATAGATTCATTCCACATCTTTATGAAATCATCCGAACATTGGACACTATATGATCTAGGGCAGTGGTATTCAACCTTTTTTTGTTCGCGTACCCCCAGATATAATTTCTCTTCAACTTTGTACCCCCAAAAGTTGTTGGTGTATAATTCAAGTTATACATAGTATATAATCAACATTTATAATAAATTAAATAAATTACATTACTGATTATTCAGTGTTTTTCGTAAAATAATATATATATTTTTTTAAATTTCACGTACCCCCTAAGATGTTTTCTAGTACCCCCGGGGGTACGCGTACCCCAGGTTGAATACCACTGATCTAGACAGTTAAAAAGACACCAAGATCACCCAGTCTCAAAGGTAGAGAGTCAAGGACCTACTTCGTAAACAAATCCGTAGATAGAAGGGTAAGTCGAAAGTGAGACTTAATTGAGCTGTCTCAGGATAATATAGCTTAACGATAGCAGGCTGGGTCACCGTGTTTCACTAGTCCTCTCTTGCTTATTTAATGACGGGTGTTCTTGGAAGTGGTCGTGGCACGCTCTAAGGCACTATATCAGGGTCCGAGATAGTTACAAATGACAAAAATACCCAGAACAACCTGCCCCTTGGCTAAAAACTATTCTTACGATCTCTCGAAAACAAAGCGTAAGTCAGTTTAAGAAGGATTAAGATGAAGGCGATAACGGCAGACGACTACTTATCCTATGAGCCTGCTTTTCCTTCATAAAGTTTCTCCTTTGTCAGTTTTGAGAGAAGGAACTATGAGGTGAAGAAAAAACCGTGGCCTACTTGAACCAGCTAGTCTCTAACCCGGGGGCTTCAGTTCAGGTGTGATACGAAACATCTTAACCACGAAGTCCCCTCGAAGTAAACGATGTTGAAACTCGGCCACTTGTCGGCATTGCGAAACAACACAAAACGTAACCGCGTTAAATACGAAAACTGTGTCATCTGCGTCATTATGATCACGTCTGATGCTGCCAGGACGCGAGGTGGTCCTACCGGGAGTCGCGACTACGTCGTCCAGCCACTCCGATTCACGGGCTTATAAGAGCTTTCTTTCAAACGCTGACTTTACACGATCGATGTATTCGTTTCGCTCGTTCCGGCCTGGTGTCCCCAGGGACAGCGTATTGTGCCCATTCTTGATCTCGAGGGGCTCACGAACCAGAGATGTGTTTGTGGACGGAACGAACCTCTGATTTAAATGTGTCAATATCGTTGGAGCAAACTACTTGTTGGTTTGGGGTGATCATGTAGGCCTTCTTCCCTCTAGGGAACTAGACTCCGCTCCAGAGAATTAACCGCGTGCAGACACTCGGGGGAATCGGCCCTATGGATAATTCAAGTCATGTTTTGTACTACTGATAGCTATTCATTCTTTAATTCTCTTTTTAACGGATGGTCATATGCCTAAGTCCCCTCATATTGGCAGTCAGACCCAGACCACACAGAAGGGGAATCAGCTAGTAATATTGCTTGAATGCATCAACCGTTAAGCTACGTACATAACCGATGACATCCTTCACAAGTGAGACCTTCATGTTTTAATCTTCCACTAAGCTACACACTGCCTAACTACAAAACTGGCTAGCTGGTTGACCGATTGTCTACATGCCTAACAGTTCATGGATGACTAGCTAACTGGCTGAATGGTTGAGTGGCTGTTTCTTAAAATACAATTACTAGAATTGTGGCTGCCTAGTTGAGTTTATTCAATTCAATTAATTTATTTAAATATTTGCAAAACAGCGAGAAGCCAATAACAGGCAAACACTGATAATACATAAAATAATAATTAAATAATAATGAAAAATATTACACAAACAGATTAACTGAACTTAAACATGTACAGTATTAAATATAAGAGCCAAATACATGCAATCCCAAAATATAAACAATATTATACACAAAGGAAAATAAATGAAGAAATGTAAATAAAAACAAATAATTCACCTAGGGAATACTAATATAAATGTAAAACGTTGCACACTTAGGTCTAATTAGACAAGCTAGAATATCTAACAACCAGCAAACAACAGAGCTGTCGAATGTTTGTCATGCAATATTAATGACATTTTAATTTAAGCTAGCCAGTTATTCTTTTGATTTCTGAGTTTGTTTTGTTGTGATAGGTTATGGGCCTATTAAAGGAGGAAATTAAAAATGCTTCACCAAATGTTTTCGTAACAAGTAATAATGATGACGGAGGCAGTATGACCTCTGAAACGTCGGTAAACTTCTACCAGACTACACGGCACAACAACCCAGACGACAGAAATCTTCATACTCTGATGACGGAGGCAGTATGACCTCTGAAACGTCGGTAAACTTCTACCAGACTACACGGCACAACAACCCAGACGACAGAAATCTTCATACTCTGATGACGGAGGCAGTATGACCTCTGAAACGTCGGTAAACTTCTACCAGACTACACGGCACAACAACCCAGACGACAGAAATCTTCATACTCTGATGACGGAGGCAGTATGACCTCTGAAACGTCGGTAAACTTCTACCAGACTACACGGCACAACAACCCAGACGACAGAAATCTTCATACTCTGATGACGGAGGCAGTATGACCTCTGAAACGTCGGTAAACTTCTACCAGACTACACGGCACAACAACCCAGACGACAGAAATCTTCATACTCTGATGACGGAGGCAGTATGACCTCTGAAACGTCGGTAAACTTCTACCAGACTACACGGCACAACAACCCAGACGACAGAAATCTTCATACTCTGATGACGGAGGCAGTATGACCTCTGAAACGTCGGTAAACTTCTACCAGACTACACGGCACAACAACCCAGACGACAGAAATCTTCATACTCTGATGACGGAGGCAGTATGACCTCTGAAACGTCGGTAAACTTCTACCAGACTACACGGCACAACAACCCAGACGACAGAAATCTTCATACTCTGATGACGGAGGCAGTATGACCTCTGAAACGTTGGTTAACATCAACCAGACTACACAGCGCATCAACCCAGAAGACAGAAATCTTCATACTCACCGCTGTGAGAACCTCAAAACACAGGAAGTAATAATTATTATTGTTGAAACTGCTGTTGCGTAGGTTGTTCTTAATTTTAATACAGAGTCGATTTAATTTTCTTAAGACAGGGATTTTAAAGGTCAGGATAATTTGATCTTTCCTTCTAAATTATTGCTCACAACCTTGGCAGCATCATTTAAAGAGCCTTCAATTTGGTCTACAATTTTCAGTTCAAGATTCCAACTGACATGTGTGGACACTGCAATTACAGGAGGTGTTATGAAGACATTGAGCTGATCTCCAAGTTCAATGCGTTTACCATCTCCCTCTGTCTCTCTGCATAACCACAAAACCGCGAGAGACAACAAACTCTCTTCCTCACACACACTCAAAAATTTCACTTCCGATTTCCGGGGTTTCTAAAAATCAACCAATCCCATTACACTATTACGTTCAGTTTTCCCCACCGTCCTTTCTAAACATTACACTCTCCACCAATAAGAACCCAGCATTCGGCAACCATAGCCAATGGCAGGAGCTTCTCCCCCGCCGCTCAGCTTCGCGTGTTGGTCCAGCTGTTCGGCGCTATCATCACTGCCCACCCCTCCCTCCCCTCTCTCCTACTCCAAGATGCTCCATCATCGCTAGTATAGGGAGATGAATCTCTACTTTACTCGGCCATGTTTTGTTGGGTGTTAAAGCTTGCTCCTGCTGCTGGAGTGTCACTTCGAGGAGGGGAAGGGAGGAGGGGAAAGACTGTCGTACCTCGTGTGTGCATGCGGATACTACACTTAGTGTCTGATTGAGAGGATACAGCTTTGGAAGCTGCGAGAATCGTTTTGCTTTTGTTAGTAATTTAGTCGAATGATCTGCTTTCCAGATGTCTCTTACAGCTGTGTGGAATCAGGTTTATATAATAACATGTTAACAAATGGTTTCAACGTGTTGTGTGTCTTGTGTTATTTAAACATTCGATTTTTAAAGATGGGTTAAGAATATTCGAGTGGCAAGAAAAGATAGATTCGAGCTGAAAACGACTGAAGTTACAGTGGACACATCATGACAGTGAAGTAGAATGTGTTACAGTGACAAGTCTTCAGCTCTGACACTCTGCAGAGGCCTTCCTTTACGCCTGGTAATGTAGGTATGGGTGTGTAATTCTAAGAATTAGGCGTATGGCCATTTAAAAGGTCGTTTTTTGTATCTTATCGGTGATGCTTAAAGGAGATACGTAACACGAACATTTTAACGTTAGTATGTTGTTGGAAGTGTTGAATAATTTTCGCTGAACTAAAAAACGAAAGGCATATTTCCTTTACTTTAGAGGCCTATAACATATGAATCACGAAAACGAATTACTCATGGAACTTATGAACAGACGTACTTATAGGGCTGATTTAAAATTGTTGAATGCGAACACAGTTTAAATATAGGCTACAAGTTGTAGCCTGTAAATAAATCACATCAATTCCTAGTGATTTTACAAGTTCAGCCATCACGTTACGACGCCACGTAAAGGAATTCTAATTTCGTTTATATTCGAGAATTGATACCGATTTAAAATTACGTGTAACACACCAGAGTAATAGTCTGCCATGAAGATTGTGTTTAAACCTCGAGAATGCTTCTGACAAAAACAGTTAAATCAATTGCGTGTGAAGCCACAAACAGTAGAATAACAGCATGATGACGATGATGATGATGCAACGACTCATGTGTCATCAAACTCAGCAGCAACAACAACAACAACAAACACAGTCACTAACACAACAGCAGCAGCAAATCTTACAACAAAATCCTTCCGGAACCAATTCAACGTCCGGTTCTATCCGATCGTCAACTCCTCCACGACTTTTGGCCTTTGGTCATCATCAATTTCACCGGATCCAGAACAGCGAAACACCTTCCGTTCCTTCCAGCATCGACACTAGAGTGAGAAATGTCGAGACATTAGAAAGTCGAAGTAGAAGTATCGATATAGTAAGAGGAGACAGTGATAAGCTTATTGTGGACGTTTCGTCAGTTACCAAAATGCATCAGGCGTCGGGGATGAGTTGCACAGACGCCGCGAGTCCGCAGCCTGACCACAGCGATGCAGAGGAACTCCAAAGAGATGAAAATAATAGATCCAGGCACTTTCGTGGCACCAGAGAAGACGACGTGACAGAGACTAAAGCACTGATAGAAAAAATAGAATCAGAGCAGGATATGGGCGTGGAAGGAGACGAGGAGGATCTTCAAATGAATGACGAAAGTGAAGAAGAAGAAGAACTGAACGTAGAAGATGAAGATCAGGAAGGAAATGATCTTCTGTCGTCCCCAGTAGACTTGACAAATAGGCATCATTCGAACGCGCATTTAATGTTAACAAATCACAGGCTGATGCAGACTTCAGAAATTATGGACTCGCATTCTCCTGTTATGTGCAATACAAATTCATTGTCGTCCTCGCCAAAAGGTGATACTTCAGGGAACGTTCTGGACAAGACCTCAAGGTCTAACTATAGGTCAGAGAGTGTGTCGAGTGTGGGGTCTGGGTTGTCAGTGGGCGGTAATAGTGGTGGAGGTCCATCGACCACAACCGCCAGCAACGGGCGAAGAAATCTTGCCTTTTCTGTGGAGAATATCCTAGACCCGACCAAGTTCACGGGCCGGGGTCCGTTACAGCAACCGGTCGGTCGGCTGGTGGCTGTTCCGCGCCTCGCGGGCGAGCCTGGCGGCCACGTATCGGCAACGGCCTGCTGTTGGCGCCCGCACCTCGACACGGCTTCCCCGGACCGGACCGACGACAACTCAGGTAAGTGGCAAGATATGGGTGAAGACGCTGTCACTGCTCACATAACGAAACACTTTCATTTCGGCACTAATGTTACTTTAAGACACGAATTAACGGTCCTATGTTATCGACATTCGATAAACAACGATTAGTCTGTACAAGAGAGACCGCAATTTAAGTCACAGCTAACGAAGGTGGCGGCTGTGGGTAGACAATGAGTTCTGGGACAGACGTCGAAATGTTTGTTGGAACAGGAAGAGATTACGGGAAAACAAGCCTAAATTTATAATTCTAAACGATGACAGCGGAAGAGTATGCTGTTCACTTAGGCTATTTCACTGGAATACATTTAAATTCTTCATCGTTTTAAGTGCCTTAATGTTTCTCATGCTGAAATCTGCTGTCATCTGTTTCCTTGTGTCCTATAGTATGGTAGTTCACCAATTCCTCTAGCGATGCTTTCTCATCGCTCTGGTGATGAAGGCAGCAAGCACCTCTGTGAAACGTCGGCTTAGTGAAAACCTTAAATCTCCCGTCTCACACGTTCATTTACTGCAGGTCCAAATATATTGTTGCGGGGCTGAACTACACTCTGGCAAATAAGATCCATTGCATTGCATTGCATTGCATAGACAGTAATTGTTTGTCATTGTATTTCGTTAAATATTTATCATGCAGAAAAAAAAAATTAAACAAAAGTTGTTTGGGCCTAAGTTATTGAGAGCAAATTTTTGTCCGTTGACTTACTTTCAGAAAGCGACCAAGTTCAATTTAAACTTCACGTGAAGAATGTGTGACATTTTACCGATAAAAACAGAAAATAGTCCAAGTTCATATAATAAATTATGACGTGTAGTGTACTCCTAACACTAGAATTAATGGAAATCCGTTCAGCATTTTCGGAAATAAAATAACGGAACCGACACGGGAATTCCCCATTACGCATTCATTTTCTTTCATGTTGTCCTTACGTTCTCTGAGCAGCTGAAACTCGTTGGGCTGCCTCAAAATTCGTTTAAGTTAGGCCAACTTCCGACCTGGTGTCAAATGAAAAATCTGTTATGGGATAAGCCCCAAAACTACGATAAGCTGTGAGGTTGTGGATTGAAGTGGTCATAGCCTATTTTGAAACACAGTTAATCATAAGGTCGTAATTTCTAATTGCAACGAGACATGTCGAGTGAAATGGCCCGTTTCTATTCAAGACTGTCATCCAATTCCTCAGCTTAAGCCCATAGGCCTATTTACATTTTAGTTATATGGCCTATGTTTCAAATACATCCCACAAACATTCTTCTTTGACATTAGGAAACGCTTAACTTTCTAAATGCAAGTGGTGACTTAAACGTGTGAAACACCTTTTAATGTTAAATAAATAATAGCCTAGGCATTTCTTGTTCATTCGACGACATAGTTAGGCCTACGTGTGTTATATTCTCAGTGTGAAGAATGATATTGTTTACAAAGAAGTTATCATTCATGATTATCTTCCTAACACAGATGTGGTCCTTTATTCTCTCATTATTTGTATTCTATTCAGAGATTAAGCAAGGCAATGCGTTTACCCAACGAAATACTTTCCTTTAGCTTCTTTAGATGAGATGATAATGTTGCGTCATATTGTGATGATTATAATTGTTTAATTTTAACCGTCTAATCACAATAAAATATTTTATTAAATATTAAAATATTACTACTACAATTAACATTTAATATTTAAAATATATTAAAATGATGCTCTTTCTATCGAAATGTTCGATTTACAATTAGAGAATCACCTTTTTCACGACATGTTTCGGTTTTCAATGAACCATCTTCAGGTGTATAATCGATATAAATTCAAATGTAATATTCTAAATGCAATCCTTCGTCAGATGTCCATTAAATATCAGTTATCCTCTTAGCTTCTTTGTCTCCTCATCCTCCTTCAACCAACTGTATCCAGGCTAAATTGTGTACCCATTTATATTTCTCGAGTTTAAAACCTATTACGACAACATCCGGCAATGTCCTCTAATGTTGCAATAGTTGCCATGTACGTCTATCTTGGAAAATTCTGAGGTGGATTTAACACAAAATCCAATCAACGTTCAGCATTTTACCAAACGTAGCGTCGAGCTGTTTAAAATCCTGATTCGTAGCTCGGGAAATCCTGGGTTCGGATCCCGACCCGGATAGCCGATGTACGTGAAGAGGTAATGTTAAAACGTATCTTAATAGCATGCAGCATGAGGGTACAAACTGGATGTAACACTCAGGATAGGCGATAAACCTAATGAATCATTGGTATTTATAAAGGTAAAGAGTTTATTGGCCATGCAAATAATTACTATGCATCACGTTTTGCCAGTAAGTTATTGCATATTTCTCTCTTCTGAAATCTTCATACTCACCGGTGTGAAAACCTCAAATAATACACAGTAAGTTATTGTTCATAATTTGAAAGTCTTCAACTGCAGTTGGTCTACACTTTGTTACAGGTCACAAGTAAAGGGCCTAACTGTTCTGAAATATCCAATGTACAGTTAACTTAATTGTTCTACTGTATTAAGCAGTCGTTAATTTCAAGAATGTGCAGTAATGCACATTGCATCTGGAAACCTCAGATCCTACCTACATCTTGTACTTCACAGCTTAATCTGAGAGGACTTTTCAAATTCACCCTCTTCTGGCATACTTTAGTTAAGAATGTTTTAAACTGAAGCTCGCACAAAAATTCGAAGTAAGGAGTAAAACGTGTCCCTTCCATCTTAACAGCTACCAACTTCATATTCGCATGGCTGAACTAAAACCAGCTGACACAAACGAGGTTCAGAAGTCCATCTTATTTTGCTACAGCTATTAGGTCTATAAACGAATAGCCTACGGTAAGGATTAACCGTAACTTCTACAGTTTCAAGAACCCGGAGGACATCGCCGTTGCAATTACGCCTGTATCGGGTATAGAGAGAATGCTATTTGGTCCTACCTATCAAGACGTCTGATGATAGTCCACCGCAATTATCCGGACTGAACGCAGTGCCTAATAGCAGCATAGCCATGACGCTGCTCTGCCATGAATAAAATAAACGTATGACCAAGACCACTGAAATGTTCACTGCGGTGGAATGCTGGATTTTGAGATTCATCGGAAGCCATGACGTTACCATGGAAGAAGGTCTGCGCTATGCTACCAGACCGACAGGTCACAACCCATTGAACTTGCACACACGAGCGATACAAACCACTCTTCCTCAATAGGGTACAGGGAGAGATTGTTAACTGAATCGGAAGACTGTCTGATCCCTGCTCAAGATAGCGATGACGTTACTCGGCAATAAAACGCAATCCTACCGTAGATAGGGGATTACGAATAATAAATAGGATCATAGGATCATCAACTTATAGCGAGGATTATTTAAGCTACTGTCAAGATATATCCCCATGGCTATGACGTCACTGGGTCTATTTGATACGGTTCCAGAGTGTTAGTCTTCATGTCCTTCTTTTGTGTAGTGTTTCAAGTGTCGAACTTGTATACCACATCGCTCAACAGCGGTCATTCGTGAGGACGACAGCGGCCCCGCGAGTTCCATAGCCTAAGAGCACGGAATTTTTGATGAAATGAACAGTTATAAAAAGTTCAAGGATACACCCAGTTACAAAGCAAGTAGACCTATGTGTTTAATTATCTATCTAATTAGGCAGCTGTTCAAATAGGGCTTAAACCATTTAACTGTATTTGGCAAGATCCACATTGAAGAAACTAGCAACATTTAACAAGCGACGGGCGATATGCGATATCATATTGCCTGTGTATTTGCGAAAAGGCGATCAAATTGTTAGTTTGTGAAAATATCGGTAAAGGAAATGATAACTGCATACCTCATAGGCTATTCTATAATTCGCACCAATTTAAAAGTTTATTTTTCATAAGTAGTCATAATTATTTCCCACTATATTTCGCTATATACAAAATGATTCTTTCTGCGATGCAACCAGCCACAAAAAATAATCCCCCTCCATAGCGATAGGCAATATGTATCTCTCGCCGATACAGTAGGTAACTTCCCTTCCACAATTATCGCGAGCAATAATTTTAAAAGCGATATTGCTGACAAGCAACATTGATCTGTATCGCCTGTTGTTTCTTGCAAGTTGCTTCGGCGTGAACCCTGCTTTCCTCAACCTATTCCACGTGGCTGTACCTTAAAATACAGGGCCTAATTCAATATCTCACGTCACACCAAATCAAGCCTTCGCCCAAAATTAGGTGTGAATGTACGACTATCACGCCTATAAGAATCACGTACATAATTTATGATAATCCTATTCTTGACACTTCACTGTAGTCTCGTTTTGTAGTCTGTTGTTCCGTAATAGTCTTTATAGTACAGTTCAACAACGCATAACTGATAAACAAATAAAATATTAGAAATACTCAAATAAAGAACATTAGGTCTTACTAACAATATGGCCTGTAAGGAAATGTGAAATATCAGAGTAGGGATACAAATTTCTATTAACTTAGAGAGAACACGTGTAATATAATTAAAAAAACTAGAACAGATATTTGCTGAACTATTTAAATTCGATAAAATATAACATATTAGAGCCATCACGTTTCATCTCCGGACAGCCTATAAGTAGGATACAGCTTTTAAGGTAAAGAGGTTATTATTAATCAGAGCTGGAAAACTTTAACACTCGGTTCAACAAGCCGATGAGTAGACGAAAATTAGTAAAGACTGCTATTACCTGCATCTAGTGCTAATCTCCACTCCCCATATGTCTGCATGATGCTTAATTAATCATCGGGAACTTTACCTTTATCTCAGATCTATATGTTCATCGTTGTCTCATTGATTTACCAATTTTCACAAAAGGGACTAATATCTGACAGTTATATAAATTACATTTTCTTTTAAGTAGGCCTGTTATCCTCCATTTCAATATTTAATCTCTGTTGAAAGCTGATATTTTAACCAGTAGCCTGTTCTCCATATAATACATTACTTGATATTTAATGTCTTGTGATAATG